GCTCAAGAACAGCTAGCCAAAAATAAAGCAATCGAGAAACAACTTAATCAAGACCGGCGAGCAAATTCCTCAATCGTCAAACTTTTGTTATTAGGTACTTAAAACACCAGTCACCAGTTTTCAAACGAACGTGTATCAGACAACAGTAAAATTAAACAAATCAAGCAAAGCATGAAAAATATTCGGGATTTATTTTTGATTTTTTTTGTATTTACTGAATTTTTCAAGGAAAGTTTCAGATTAAATCTCAGTTTTAAATTAATTCATCTGTTAATATGACAGTTTTTAGGGGCTGGTGAATGTGGAAAATCAACAATTCTTAAACAGATGACGTAAGTTCCAAAAACTTCAAAAGCCACGTTTTAGTCATTTATTTTAATGAAATATTTTAATTATTAACGCTTTACAAGTTATCAGTGTAATTCCTTTCAGAATACTTCATAGCAGCGGTTTTACTGAAGATGAAATAAAAGAACGTAAAGAAGTAGTGTATAATAATTGCGTTGGTTCTATGTGTACTATCTTGAAAGCTATGGAGAGTGTTTTGGGAATTCCGTTTGAAAGTCCCGAACGAGAAGTAAGTTCCTTTTTGACATTGTCACTGTTGTCTTTTGAGCATAGAAATAAAATGCTTAAGAACTTCCCATAAAGTATTGTAGGCCGATAAAGCAGTAATTTATCGAGTTGTCGATGCTGGCGAAGAGTCACAGCCATTTACAGACGAAGTTTACCACGCTCTAAAGGCACTATGGAGTGACAAAAACGTCAAAGCTGCTTACGATCGACGCAGTGAATACCAGTTAACAGATTCTGCAAAATAGTTCAGTTTTCAAGTTTAAAGGATCTGTTTGTCAACTTCACGCTATAGCTGAAATTTCTTTTTGCTACTACAGAATTTTTCAGTTTTTTGGACTCAGTAGACAGAATAAATGAAGCAGGTTACCGGCCAACTGAACAAGACATTTTATTCAGTCGTGTACCAACTACTGGTATAGTCGAAGTAAAATTCAAGATTAAAGACCTCGAGTTTAGGTAACGTCTTTTAGTGTCACTCATCTTCAATAAACGTTTCAACCAAACCGTAAAGCCAAGCCTACATTATAAAACGTTTCAAAGGGTTTTTGATGTGGGTGGTCAAAGATCTGAACGAAGAAAGTGGATTCACTGTTTCGAAAGTGTCGAGTCGATCATCTTTATTTGCGCTATCAGTGAATACGATCAAGTTTTATTTGAAGATGAAAGCACTGTACGGTATTCTTATTTCCCAGTCAAACTTATAAGCTTAAAGATAAAAAAATTTTACACTTTTGCTGGCATTACTCACAAGCTGAATTTCAATTGTTTAGCAGCTATTATCAAGAAACCGCTTATTCTTTATCCAAATGCATAAGCAAATATCATTTTAGAATCGGATAATTGAATCGATGACTTTATTTCAAACTATCTGCAACAGTCCTTGGTTCATATCAACGGCAATTATTTTATTTCTAAACAAAAAAGATTTGTTTATGGAGAAAATACAGAAAACAAATATCACAACTGCCTTTCCTGACTACACAGGTATTCTATTAATTCTTATGCCACTATAGCACTGCGATGGCTTTCCCTTCAAAATACCAATTCCAAAAACTTTATAAAAAACTTATACTTCTTACGAGTACCCGTAACAAGTAGCAGTTAAATCACTAAAACAATTAATTTAACAGAATAACGGATCAGCATTTCAGGTCCACAAGAATACCAAAAAGCAGTTGACTTTATCAAACTGAAATTTAGCCAACTGAATGAACACCCAGATAAGAAAACAATTTACATGCATGAAACATGCGCCACTGATACCAATCAAGTCCAATTGGTCATCTCCAGTGTCATTGATACAATCATACAAAAAAATTTACAAAAAGCCGGAATGATGTGAACTCTGACTCATCGTCTACTTTTTCACTGCGACAATATCTATTCTCATTCTACTTCCCTCCATTATTTTCAAATGTTCAGCTTTTCTTTTGTTTATCAAACTTTAACAGCAATCGTATACGGGTTGATGTCAAAAAGCAATTGTCTGTTAGCTCTTCTCCAGCTTTCAGAGTATTGCTTGTTCCATGTTCCTTATAGCTCAAGTTATTTACATGCTATTAATGTGTGAAACTGTAATATAATCGATCATTTATGAGAGTAAAATTCGCAGAAACTCAAAAAAAAAAAAAAAAAAAA